ATGATAAAAAATAATTAAATGCATTTATAGATTTTGCCTTAATTTGCTGAATTATGGTTAAATGTTTAGAGATGTTGACTGATCTGTTTAATTCTAAATTCATGAACCAAATGCAGAATCGCCGAACTAGAAGGTCGACGCTCCCCCCAAGGAGAAACATCACCACCTCGCTATTCGCGACCTACTCCTTGGGTCGTAGACCACGCTTTACCTCTCTCCCACGACATCTTGCACGAGCCTGTGCCTCAAAAAATCAAAGTGCCTCAGCTCGGACTTTACGACGGGTGCTCGGACCCCGACTCCCACATCGGCCTTTACACCTCATGGATGGATCTGCACGGTGTGACAGACGCTCTACGCTGTCGCATGTTCTCCCTGACACTGGGGCCGAAGGCACAGAGATGGTACCATTCTCTGTACCCGCATTCTATTTGCACCTGGGGGCAGCTCAGATCGGCGTTCCGATCACACTTTATCGGATCGCAGATCAACCTTGCCCCCAAGGAATCCATCGCCAATATCGTCCAAGGCAAGGACGAGAGCCTGAAAGACTACATCACTTGGTTCAACGACCGAGTCCAGAATATGGAACAGTGTCATCCTGAGACCCTGCTTGTTTCCGTGCAAGCTGGGCTGAAACCGAAAACCTTGTTCAAGTGGTCCCTGTGCCAGAACAAGCCGACCACATACCAGGAGTTCCTCACCAAGGCCCAAAACTACATTATAGCCAAGAAATCCTCATCCATCCCGGTGCTAGATGCCACGCCGAGCAAGGATAAAAATAAAGAGAAATCAAGGAAGCTTAACAAATCATTCGCTGAAGTTCGGGCCATGAGAAAGCAAAGAGCTGAGGAGCTCAAAGAAAGCTACAAGGACGTCTTCTCGATAGGCGCCGCCGCAGTCTACGAGGAGATCAAAACAAAAGGGTTATTACCTGACTCCAAACCCATGTTCACTGACAAAGACAAGGTGGATAAGTCCCGATACTGCACCTATCGCAAGGCGCACGGGCATAATACAGACCAATACCGTAACATAATCTCGGCACTGCTCAAGCTGATAGATGCCCCACAGATCGAGAAGTTAATTCACTTTAGTGAGAAAAGAAAAAAAAGGGGGCCGTTTTGAGGACAGCCTGGACAACGATGAAGATACAGACGTGAACCCTCAAATGAAAAAGCCGCAGCAGGGCGGCCCGACTGAGATTATGATGTTCAGCCTGGCTCATCAAAGCGAGGCCGACACTTCCGTGGGCAGAAAAAGAGATCAGTCTCCGCAGCCAGGGACCGACCAGACTGACTACCCACCTCGGCGTGTCAACACGAGCCGAGGAGAATCCCTCCTTTCGAGGAGACAGATAAAGTCTTATGCCCGACAGTCCTATTATGCCGGGAAGAGAGTAATGCACGCCGGAAGTAGGCCGACAGTTGAGCCAACACCCAACAAAATCTCTTTCACGGACGAGGACGCCTTCCTGTTCGACTACACCCACTCCGACGCCCTGGTGATCACGACCCCGATAAAGGCGATTAAAATCCATCACATAATGGTCGACACCGGGGCCTATGCTAGCATCCTTTATTATAGCACATTCAAGAAGATGGGGATCGACAGGAAGGAGGTGCAATCCTGCCGAGAGCGGATCCATGGGTTTAATGGACAGATGACAACCCCCGTTGGCCAAGTAACACTGCTGATCAGGTATGGGGAGAAGGGGCAGCCTACGCAAACGATACTGGAAACCTTCAAGATAGTGGACTGCCCAAGTGAATACAATGCCATCCTAGGCAGGACGACGCTTTACGAGCTGAGAGGCACCGTCTCTATCTTCCATTATTTCTTTAAATTCCTGACCTCGGATGGGGAAGGGACCCATCGGGGAGACCAGAGAGAAGTACGGGAATGCGTCCTGACCGTCCCACAGACGGAGATAAACTCTGCCAACTCCATTCCCGATGCCGAGATAGAAGCATCTGAACCCGTTGTCTCGGGAAATCAGTCGATAATCCCTGACGCTAATGTCGAACTGACTCACGACGACGCATGGGGCAACTGCATGCTGGGAAACCAGACAGGTTCGCCTCTCCCGATCGTGTCGGATGCCGGTCTGGTCGTCGGAGGGACCGGGGTGGAAAACGAAGCAGAGGGGACAGAGGACTACGTAGGCCCGAATGCCGAGATGGTTCATCCCGGCTCAGGGGACGGCCGCATGCTGAAAATCTAGATAGGTCCGCTCCCCCTGGCTGGTACGAATGCTCACTAGGAAGAAGAATCCGGGGCCGACATGGACCAAGATAGAGGGAGAAGAGCCGGCAAGGAGCCAATCACGGAGGAAGACGAACTCGACCCCCAGACTTAATATGAAGAAAAAAGGGGCACCAAAAGAGCTGAGCCCATGGACGAAGTCGAGATCATTTTCATTGACGAGGAAACTTGTCAAAAGCAGCTCCGGATCGGCAGTAAACTGCCAGCACCGTTAAAGGCCAAGTGTAATATCCCATCATTTTATTAATATAAATCATGTTTTAGTTCCGATATAATCACGGTGTCGATTATTATTTTCGAAATTAATTATTTTCAGTCGAAATTACCCGAAATTATTTTCGACGTTCCGTTTACGTTCGGAATAATTTTGGTAATTAAGCATTATGTTTAATTAAATAATTAAACATAATTTAGTGATTAATTAAAATATTAATCACACGTCATTGTAAAAAGCCGTAGCTATTTCCCATTTTTTTCAAAGTGCCATGCTTAGTGAATTGATGGTACATTGTCCATTAAGTTAGTGTGCTAATTAAGATTAATAAGGCTCCAAATTTCGTTAATGCCGTGAGTAATTGTGGGGAAACTCATGAAATACTCATCATGCGTTTAAGCATGAGGTGTCATTTGGTTAATAACTAACCTTATGACTAGGCTAGATTATTGATGACTAAGCTTAAAAGTGGAGCATGTTAAACCTAAGCATGGCATATGGAGGAAAATTATTGGTTAAACCATACTTTTCCACCTCTTCACCCTTAATCATTAGGCCACCTATATAAGAAGTATGTTGGGACAAATTTTCCTCATACTCTAACATATATTAAGTAAAGGGAGAGCTTGAGAGAGTAGAGAGTTAGTGAGGAAGAGGAAGAGCACCGCACGGCAAGTAGCTACCGCAACAAGCAACGCACCGCACGCCGCACCGCCGAGATCATCGCACACACGCACGGACGCGTCGGGCACCGAGTGTTCCGAGAGTTCAGTGCGATCAGACGAGTTAGTGAAGAGGTAACTTCGTTTACCTTGAAAATTTCATGTTAAAGGCATGTTAGTTTCGAATTTTTCGTGGTCATGCTGGCTTAAAGCCACTCGGCCGTGTGGGTGTGTAGTGAGATTGTTCATGTTATATTTAAAATCTTCCAAGTAAGAGTCATGTAATCAGGCCCGGTATCTTGTTCATGTTCAGTTTAGGTCATGTATTCGGAAGAAAGTTCATGTTTGTATGGTATTTCGGACAAGGGACGTGGTCGCGCACGTAGCGCGCACCACGGGCCGGGCACTTGTAACAAGTATGTTAAGTTCAAGTCCTTCGAGCACTTCATGTTATTTTGTTTAGTAAATCAGGTTTCATGTTCAGTCAAGTATGAATTGCCGAGAGAAAATAAAGTTTGGTCGTAAAACGGCTTACCGTCGTCGGCGGCGCACGGTGTGCCGCCGCGGCCGAGTCCAGCTTTTTGTATAAAATTCATGTTTTAAGTTAGATCAGCATATATGATCATGTTATGATAAATTAAGTTAGATCATGTAGTAGTTGCCGGAGAAATCCGCCGGACGGCCGACGAGGATCGGTCGTATCTACGCTGCCGCACATAGCGACCGCAGCGTACCGGCGGTGCGCGGGTGCGAAGGTGATGCGCGGTATGGTACCGCGAGCGGCCAGTAACCGCAGCAGGTAACTGTTAGCGATGCGCATGCGCACGCCAATACCCAGGCATGCACGCCAGCGTGCGGTAATGCACGCCAGCGCGCAGCAGCACACGATAGTGGCTCGCGCAGCGTCAGTCCTGTCCAGCTAGTGTTGTGCGCATTCATGAACCCAGTAGCACGTCGTGGTGTACGGTAACACCCAACTGTGCCCAGTTCCACGGCAGCCGGTGCACATAGCACTCGGCAGCACTCCAGGTCCGTCAGGTCTCGTTCATGTCCGTCATGGCCAAGTGCACCCAGCACCCTCGGCCGTGGCCAGGGCAGGCCCCGCAGCGGCCATGCCCGCACCCAATTCCGTCTGCAGTCGTGCCCGCAGCCGCGGCAAGGCCGCGAACCGAGTCAACAGCCAACCAACCGGTCCAGGCAGACCGGCGGTTCGGCCAGACCGGTTTCAACCGGTTCGGACCGATTTAGTCCATAAATTATCAGTTAAATCCCGGTTCATGTTTTTAAATCCCATTTTCAGTTAATTTCCGGGTCCAGTCCAGTTCAGTAAAATCATGTCAGTTCAGTTCCGTACTTAACCGGTTTCAGTTATACCGATTAAGTCCGGATATCATGTTAAGTTGAGTAGAGCATCTTAACATAATTAATTAGTTAATTTATCAGGCTGAGCATAGTCCTTAGTAATTGTTTATATTATTTTTCAGTTTGATCAGGCATC